CTGTGTGGTCTTCACTTACATGCCCCTTTTCTCTCCCCAGGAAAAGTTTGACATCACTCTGGACCACAAGTCTAAAATCTTCCAGAATCTGAACGGAGCCATCGGTATGTCTGTCTCCCTGTATGGACCCCCTGTGCCCCCCACAGCTCAACAAGCTGCCGGTCAGCCGGAGACGTCTATAGGGGCCGCACTGTTGTCTGGTCGGCTCCTGTAGCCATTTCCATCTGCATGGAGCGGGGCAACAATAACTCCCTCTACACGAATGGTGTGCGGCTTCTTTGTGTGATTTTCTGTGTCCTTCTGCAGACGAGGTCATTATGAAGTTCGATAGCAACAAGGTGCGGGCCCGAAATATGGCGTTCGATACCATTCCCGTCGTCATCCACGGAAACGGTCCCACCAAGGTACACTCCACCCCTCGTCATGCCTCACCATTCACCAACCCCACAGTATCCGTGTATGTATAGTCAAAGCTTTCTGACAGTGATCACCAGGACACACAGAGGAGACCCAATCCCCCTTCCCTATACAGAGTACTGTCCCAGCACATACACTTCAACTCCTCTCAGCTTGAGCTGCTGAGCTCTGTAACCAACGAGATGAGAAGAGTCAGGCAAGCGTGTAACGGCTTCTAAAGCGCCACCTTCTGGATACAAATGAGAATACATATTAATATAAATGATTTCATATTTAAATGACACATTTTGTTACTTTTTTTTTCACACCATGTTAAAAATAAAAGGATTTCCTTTTGTAACCGCCGTGACTTGTTTTTTTTCCTTCCAGCTGCAGCTAAATTATTTGTCCAACTATGTGCCCAACGCCTGGACGCACGAAGGCGGCTGTGAGATCTGTGATGAGGACCTGCTGGACATCTCTGAGGTTGAGGTAAGAGCAGCGCCTCCACCCCCACCTCATCCCCAACTGTGTGCATGTATGTATGTATGTGTGTGTAATAAATATATATATATATATATATATATACACGTTTGTAGGCAAATGAGCTATAATTTGGCGCTGAAGTTGCTAGAGGGCCAGACCATTATAAATAGATACTATGTGTGTGTGTGTGTGTGTATCTTCGGGCTGACATACATGTTGCTCAACACCTAACAAACTTCTTACATTTGGTTCTTTCTCGTATACCATTGCATGTGTTTTGATCCTGCCAGAAATCCAGTGAGCTGTTAACTTCCTGTGCTGAATGTTATCAGTTACATTGTAGTTGAGTATTTGGCAGGTACTAATAGTACTTGCCCAAATGCTCCCGATACCTATTCCAATTCCAGAACTTGCGGTATCGGGAAGCCGGGCAGTGATTAATTTGCACGCTGCCTGGCTTCCTGGTTGGCCGTGAAGCCGGCTCCGTGCTCCCTCGTCACCAGGGAGCATGGGGCTCGGGAGCCGTGGAATGACTTGCCACTTGGCTTCCTGATTGGCCAGATTCCTGACCGATCGTGAAGCCGAGCGGCAAGTCATTACACGGCGCCCCCGTCTTCCTGATTGGCAACAAAGCTGGCTCCCTGGTGATGAGGGAACATGGAGACGGCTTCCCGGCTAATCGGGCGGCAAGTCTTTACACGCTGCCCGGCTTCCTTAATGGGACTTCTGGTATCGGTATTCGGCATCGGCGAGTTCGGAAAAAAAATATCGGTACTCATAATCCATACCGAAAGACTGGTATCGGTGCATCCCTAATTGTATACATGTTATGGAGAGGAGGAGGAGGTGCTTTGTAGATCTGTTGTTCCGTGGGCTGACAATGCTGCTTTTCCATAGATATACAGTGAGCGTTGTCACCGATAGGACAGGAAGTTGTATTATACGCAGGATCAACAGGTTAAAGCGGCACTCCGGGGAAACATTTTCAGCAACCCTTGCATTGGGGCTACCTCCGGACTGCAAGGGTTAAGTGCTCATTCTTGTCTGGATTCAAACATAACAAAGTTATACTCGCCCGATCCTCGGAGGTGACTGGTTCCTGGAGCCTCGCTCCCCCTCCTCCGCTGCAGGGATGGTGTGTCCCTCGGCGTCATCACGTCCCATACACGGTGATGACTCACGGGACCTTAGACCGCACTGGAGAGGAGGTGGAGTGAGGCTGAAGGTATGGGTCTAAGAGCATGGGGTGAGTATAACTTTATTATTTTTTTGAACCTAGACAAAAACAAGCACTTAACCCTTGCAGAGCTGGGGTAACCCCACTGCAAGGGTAAAGAAAATGTTTCCCCGGAGTGCTGCTTTCAAATAAAGGAAAACCCCAGATGACGTGCCAACCACTGTGCTTGCCCGCCCATGCTGCTTCTGGGCTCATTGCTCTGGATTATGGTCATGTGACCGGCACCCCGAGGTCACCGGTGGCAGTATCTGAAGGCCTCAGGCGGCCTCTGTGCTGTGTCAGGGGGGTGATTGGTCTTGCAGCTCTTCCAGCAGCTCATTGGAAGGAAATGATCTGCCCTCTAGTGGTGACAAACTGTATTGCTGATGTTTTGGCCTTACAGGAGCTTAGCTGAAAATAGAATCCCCCCCCCCAAACCTCAATCAGACCAGCAAGCCAAAAATGTACAACTGAAGCCGAAATTTTTGTTTATTTTTGGATAGCGTGCGGAACGGCCACCATATTTCCTGTCTGTGTCCCCGTTGGGGAAATTCATCCCCCGGGACTGGGGCGCGCTTCACGCCCCCGGGACTGGGGCGCGCTTCATCCCCCCGGGACTGGGGCGCGCTTCACGCCCCCGGGACTGGGGCGCGCTTCACGCCCCCGGGACTGGGGCGCGCTTCACGCCCCCGGGACTGGGGCGCGCTTCACGCCCCCGGGACTGGGGCGCGCTTCATCAGCAGCGCTTCATTAGCAGCGCTTCATTAGCAGCGCTTCATGTGGAAGCATGGGTCATGCTTCCACAGATCAGGTTAATCGTAGACAGGAAGTCACCCGTTTATGTTTACCCTGATCTGTGGGAGCATGGCCCTTTTGAAAGATGCAGCCATAGAGGGGCGAGACACACCCAGGGCCGTGTGCATGAATACAGTCCAGCCAGTGAGATAACCATACATGCTGAACGGCGTGTATTGCGCAATGTCCACCACCAGAGCTGCAGCCTCCTGAATACACAAACAGTGACTGCCTCTGATTGGCTGCAGTTCCTGGTTGGGCAACAGTTTTCCACCCGTCTCCGTTTCAGGTTTGTATAGCCGCTTGGTGCAGACAGGGCTGTGTTTCAGTAATGGGATTATCAAGGATCTAATCGGCTTTTGGTCCTCGCTGACCTCCGGAATCCATCTTTTGTGTCTTTCAGGACGATGATTTGCCCCACGCGCTTCTGGGAATTTTCATTGAGCAGCCAACCCCGTTCCTGCCACAGTTCCTGGAGAGGCTGGCCGCGCTGAACTACCCGCGACACCGGCTGTCACTCTACATACATAACAACGTGAGTACCACCATCTGCCCGCAACGCTGTTCTGAGGGCTTTCTACTATTGAGTCTCCGTAATATCAAATAATTGGGGAGTCGGCTGGGGCGGAGACGTCTGTGTTATCGCCTCCTGGGGCGGAGACGTCTGTGTTATCGCCTCCTGGGGCGGAGACGTCTGTGTTATCGCCTCCTGGGGCGGAGACGTCTGTGTTATCGCCTCCTGGGGCGGAGACGTCTGTGTTATCGCCTCCTGGGGCGGAGACGTCTGTGTTATCGCCTCCTGGGGCGGAGACGTCTGTGTTATCGCCTCCTGGGGCGGAGACGTCTGTGTTATCGCCTCCTGGGGCGGAGACGTCTGTGTTATCGCCTCCTGGGGCGGAGACGTCTGTGTTATCGCCTCCTGGGGCGGAGAC